AGCGTGGGTGCCCCGAGAGGCAGCCGGGGTGAAGCTGGGGGACAGGGAGGTCCCTGGGACTCTGCTGCAGGGACGGGGACAGGGATGGGAGCAGGGATGGGGACTGGCCCCGCCGCTGGCAGTAGATGGCAGCCGATGGCCGGGAAAGGCTCCTGCCTGCCGTGGGACGGGGACATCCCCCTGGGCCACCGCCACCATCACTGGGCCACCAACAGTGGCCAGTGGGGAGGGCTGTGGCAACGGCTGTGGGTGCCGTCTGGAGAGACCCAGAGCCGCCAGGGACCATACTGGTGAGACTGGTGGGACTGGGACAGCTCCCACCTCCCTGTTTAATCCCCAGAGGCTCCCTGCCTCCAGCCTGCCCCGTGCTTCCCCGGCTGTTCTGTGCTGCTGTCACCAGGGGTTGTGCCCACAGAAATTCCAGCCTTGGGGCCCCTACACAGCCCCCAGTGGCTCTTGTGTCCCCAGACAACAGCGGCACCCCTGGGGACACGTGCTGTGTGACAGCTCTGGTGACAGGGAACCTCCCTCCCTCCCTCCCTCCCTGGGGTGCACAGCGGGTGCAGTGGGGACAGAGCAGGGGCTGGGGAGCTTTGGGGTCCTGTGTAGGCACCCGCTGCTCCCCAGGGATTGATTCTGTCCCGGCTCCCACGCAGAGGGATCAAAGCACGGGAAGCGGCCACTGCCGGCAGCGGAGGGAGGCAGAGCTGGGCTCCCCCTCCTCCTCCTCCTCCTCCTCTTCCCCGGCCCCCCTTAATGAGACAAACGAACTGGGAGTTTTAATTGGAAGCTTCCAGGCTCAAGGAGACAAAGGTGAGATCGGCTGCTGGCGGGCAGGGAAGGAGCAGGGAAGGAGCCAGGAGGAGCCGGTGACCCCGGCCCCGTGGGACAGGAGCACACCCGGAGCTGTCCCGGTGCCAGCCCCGCTCCTGTCACACGTGGTCACCACCGAGGGTGGCTGAGAGGAGCTGGTGCAGAGCACCAGATGTTCCAGTGCCAGATGTGTCCTGGCACGGCAGGAAAGGGGATCACAGGGGTGATGGGAGCACGGGTTCCTGGGTTCCGTATTTGGGGGTCTCTGTCCCAGGGTGGCAGTGATGGAGCTGGAGCAGGAGGGAAATACAGAACAAAACCTTTTCCCCATCACTAAACAGAGCTCAGGTCCCAGGAGGGCAGGTGGCTCCTCCACCCCTCACCTGCACTCTGGGACAGGGTGCCCAGACCTCCCCATGCCCAGAAGAGGGTGCAGAGGCACCCACAGGACAGGGATGATGGAGATGGGGGGAAGCCACAATGGAGCCCAACCCCAGAACTGGTGCCTTTTCCAGGACAGCTCAGCTGGGAGCTCCTCCTGAACCCTGGCTCCCTGCAGGGGAAGCCTTGTGGGAGCCCAAAGAGGAGCTGTGAGAGGGGCTTTGGGAGCCAAAAGGAGCTGCAGAATAATTAGGGAAGCTGTGGTTTTAGGTGGTCAGGTCATGTTGTAGCAGAGGCTGTGGGAGCCTGAAGGGGGGCACTGGCACAGGGAGGGAGAGGAAAGCAGAGCCCAGGGGAGTCTCTGAGGCCTCTCCCAGCCTGGGTGTCTCTGTCCCCCACTGCACCCTCCAGCTGATCCAAAACCCCACCTCAAGGAGTGAATGAAGACCATTGGAACTGGAGCCGCGTCCTCCAGCAGCTCCGTGACCCCATCCAAGCAGCTGTGGGAACGGGGAGACACAACAGCAACCCCAAAACACAGCCTGAAACTGTTCTGTGCCTGCACCGGTGCTGAGAGCGGCTGGCAGTCCTGGGGACAGGGGGTGTGGAGGTGCCAGTGCCTCCTGGCTCCTGGCTGGCAGCAGACGTGGCCTCCAGCTGCCACGGGCCCGCAGAGCTGCCGGGTGCCTGGGCCCCACTGCCCGGGGCTGCTCGGCCTCGGCGCGTCCGCCTGCCGTGTCCAGGTGCTGATCCGGCCCCTGCGCGTTCTCCCCCAGCCCACGTCAGCAGAGCAGCTCCTGGACATGTTGGCCAAGGGCAGTAAAAACCGGGCACAGCGTCACACCAAGGCCAACGCCACCTCCTCCCGCTCCCACGCCATCTTCCAGGTGAGGGCTGCTGCCTCTGGGATCGCTCCCATTGCTGCTGGAAACGGGGCCGGGGAACTGCCAGCAACAACATCCCAGGGCTGTCCCCCTCAGCACTGAGCTGGCAATTTTGCTCCCCAGGGGCTCTGGCCATGTGCTCTCTGCTTCCTCGGTGCAAAGCTGCCAGTGGATTTCCATGCCAGCCAGACCCCTGCCCGAATTCGCAGGGCTGTCACGGCTGCCTGGGCAGACGGAGGCTCTGGCTGTCACTTCAGCCTGAGCCTGCTGCCTCGGCCCTTGCTGCTTGCAGGGGAGCAGCCCAGGTGTCTGGATGCTTTTCCAGCCAGCTCCCAGCTGGGCTCGTTGGTGGGTCCTGGATTCCTGCCTGCACAAATCCCTGAGCTGTGCTGGAAATCTGCCCTTCCCGCTGCCAGCTCTGCCTCCCAACAAGCAAACCACGGGCTGGTGAGGATACAGGAGCAATCCTCAGCTTCCAGCACCTCTGTCCCTGCAGGAGTTGCTCCTGGAGGGGGTGAAGGGATTGCAGGGCACTGGGGGAAGCACGTTGGGTTCTACCTGGAGATTTTTAGGGATTCAGAGGGAAAGGCACAGAGCAGTGTTCCCCCTGGCCTGCACCAGCCCTGGGCTTGGCACCCACAGCCCTGGGCTTGGCACCCACAGCCCTGGCTGGTGTCTCTCTGGGGACTGTCAGGCTCTGTCTGGGGGCTGAGTTTGGTGGCAAAGTCCCCAGGGAGAGTCAGGTCTGGAGCTGCCTCTGTGTGTGAGCCCATCCCGGCTCATTCTGGGGCTTTGGGTGGGTTTGTTACCCTTCAGGGACCCAACCAGCTGTACCCTGCTCCATCCCTGGGTGTGGGAGATGCAGATTGTTTTCCAACAATCTGCCTCCCTCCCTGACTTTGATTCCCATGTCATCACCACGTGTTTGGCTCACCATCATCGACACAGTTCAAGTGCCAGAGCATGGCTGGGACCCACAGGACAGCAGGATTTCTCTTGGGAAGGCTGAAATCCTCAGGTCACATCCTCAAACAAAGGAGATGAGCCTGAAGGGCACATCCTGCTCCCTGCTGAAACCCTGCAGAGGTGCCACCACCTTCGGGGGATGTGTAAGATAACTCTGTCAGGAACAAATATTGACTCCAAATTCTGTGCTGAGTTGGGTGAGTTAAAAACACCTCAAAAGCAGAGAGATTTCTGAAGAAAATTGCCAGATTAATTTGAAAAAAATTATTTTCCCTTCAAAAAGTAGAAACAAAACATTGAAAAAAATGTTGAAACCGAAATATACGAAAATGTTCCTCACATTGGAAATTTCCTATGTGAGGGTGATCCAGGGTACCCGAGTGTCCAGCGGGGGAGCTGCTGTTACTTGGCCGGTTTCCTGAACACCTGACATCTGCAGTGACACGTGTGGATGATGTGGATGAGGAAGAAGATGCCGGTGATGATGGCAAAGCTGATGCCCACAGCCCTCATGACAAAGATTGACTCGGGGTCAGAGGGGCTCCGCTGGCGCCGGGGCTGGAAGGGGACACTGAGCTGGAAGCCGGCCACCAGCTCACCCTCCCTCCAGCAGAAGTAGGTGGCTTTGTCCTTCCTGTGCAGTCGCTGGAGGTGCAGGTGGTTCCCGTGGTCGATGAAGAGCCTCATGTGCTTCCTGACCCCCACCAGGTAGTGGGAGCGGTAGAGCCGGATGGAGCCCTTGTCCCAGGCCACGGCGTGCTCGGGCCGCGCTCCCGGGCACGCGATGACCAGGTCACTTTTGGGGGGCTGGCTGTGGTACTGGATGGGGACACGGGGCAGGTGGGGCTTCTCGCCCACCTTGTAAATGATGTTGGAGATGGACTGCACGCCTTCCTCGGGGACTTCCTTCTCTGGGCAAGGGGCCAGGCAGCTCCGGATGGCCACCTCGGGGCTGCGGAGGTAGAGGAGGCGCTGGAAGTGTGCAGGCACAGCCCTGGAGCCGCAGGAGGTGACGTTGGGCAGCGCTGTGCGGTACCGGGGCTTCAGCTGGGCACTCTGCACGTAACAGAGCCCGATCCGCCGCTGCTCACCCCGCACCCCGCAGCGGTCACAGCTCGTCCAGTCCCAGAAGGTGGTGAAGAGGGTGAATTCCTTCCCTGTGTAATCCTCTTGGACATGCTGGTCCTTATCCAGAAAAGCCACCGTGATCTGCCTGGTGGGCTGCACATCCACGTCGTAGCCATAGAAGAAGAGCCCGTCCTTGGTGCCACACAGGTAATGGCCCGAGTCCCTCACCTGGGCTCGGAACACGAGCAGGCTGAACATGCGGATGCTGAAGCGCTTCAGGAGGTCGCTGCCCACGCGGATGTGGCTCGAGTCCACAATCACGGTGCCGTTGAAGTCTGTCAGCACCGTGGTTTCGTGGCTGTGCAGGTTCTTCTGGAAGTACCAGACAACAGATGAGGTCTCCTCAGGCTTGCACTTGCAGGGCAGCTCAAAGGTCATGTCAGCCAAGTACGCGACGTTCTCGAATATCAGGAAGGCGGGACATGCCATCTTCTTGAACACATCCCCTTTCTTCTCGATGGCAAAGGCCTGGAGAACATCCACTAGGGACAGGAGTATGGTGGCTCCCAGCAGCCTCCTCCCCATCGCTCCGGGTGCTCTCTGGCCCAGCAGAACTCACACAGCCCAGCCAGGCATCTCCTGGGAGCATCCTGCCCTGAAAGGGGCCAGCCTCTGTCACCCCCCCTGGAACCTGCCTGTCCCCAGCAGCTCTGGGGGAGCGTTGTCACCCATGTGCCTGGCAACAATGGAGCTGCTCTGGGACCAGTGGATCCCTCAACATCTCGTCGTGGTTTGAGTTGGATGGGAACTTAGAGTGGATCTCTAGTGCAGATCAACATCTTCATGGCTGGTGCCATTGAGAAGGTTTTAGCTTTTTGGGTTGTGCTTTCATGACTGGCGCCTGTTAGAGAGGGCAAGAGAACCTTCAACCGTGGGCTGGCCAATCTGACCAGAGGGGCTTTAAATGGAAAGGCTTGGGGAGTGGGTTCCAAAGTGGCAATGCTTGTGCCATTGCTTCCTCCTGGGAGGAGAGCAGGCCAGCCAGTGGAGTCTGATGTTCCTCGGCTCACAGGGCAAACCCCATCAGCGCTGTGGGGAAACCTCCCACACCCCACACGGTTCCTTGATCCCCTCTCTGAAGTACCTGGACACAAACAGTCACAGCATGGGGAACAAACAAGAACTCGAAATGTGAATGTGCAGTGGCAGGGCTGTGATCCCACTGCAGTGACAGAGACACAGTGGGACAGCTCACCTGACTGGGATGTTGGCATGGATGGCCATGGCCATGTGTCCCCCACCCCCCTCACCTGCACAGAGCAGGTGCTGGACACCCAGCAGAGGGCCCAGGCCTCCCACAGCAAAGGGTGCAGAGGCACCCACAGGCCCTGGGATGATGGAGAAAGGGGATGGAGCCCAAGCCCAGAGCAAGAGCCTTTTCTGGGCTCTCCACACGATGAGGCAGGAGAGAACAGCCACGTGTTTGCCCTTGGATTTGGAGCAGAACAATTTATTAAAAACACAATAACTTATTCTCTAAACCCACCCATAACCTGCAAACACACAAACAGGACTGAGCCAGCAGAGGGGGCACGAACGGGGGCACGCAGCTGTCCCCGGAACCGTGGCCAGGAGGGCACGGGGGGGCAGGGGGGCAATGAGGGGCAGGAGGGCACCGAGGGGCAGGAGGGCACGGGGGGGCAGGAGGGCATTGCGGGGCAGGAGCGGATGCTCGCGGGGCTGCAGGAGGAACGGGGGCGAGAGGAACTGGAGGCGTTTGGAGTTTGAACGCTGGGAGAGGTGCTGGGGGATGGATGCGGGAGGGCTGCCCGGAGCTCTGGCTGCTCCTGCTCAGCGCTTGGGGGAAGCAGCTCTGGAGCCGGCCCGGGGAGGGAGCTGGGGCTCCGTGCAGCCGCTGCTGCCGGGGTGCCAGGGCTTTGGGTGCCCGGCGGGGACGGCTGGAGGCTGACACAACGCGGCCCCGGGGACACAGGAGGGCTCTGCGCTGCCCGGGGAGTCCCTGCTGCCTTCCCAGGACTCTGCTGGCGCTTCCTCCGTGTTCGGGAGCTGCGGGAATTTTCTGATTGGGAATCTCTGCTCGACTCGAGCATCCTCTTAACCGGCCCGGGAGACATCGACCTGGAACTGGAGCACGGAGAGAGCTCCTGGAAGCATTCCGGGTCGGTGCTGGGCACAGCGGGATCTGGCATGGTGACAGGCACCTCGGCTAAAAGAGCAGAGAAGAAACAGAGTCACCTCCTTGTCTGAAGTTCGGGAGCACCCCCAACCCCTGGAGCACCCCTGTGCCCCCCAGCTCAGTGCAGACCTGCCCTCTCAGCCCCGCAGCAGCCCTGTTCCATCAAAGCGCATCCAGCTCCGAGGAAAAGAGCCGGCACAGGCGCCGGGCTGGTCCCACAGGCGGTGCCCCGGGGCAATGCCTGCGCTGTCCCCAGCAAACGGGGTCTGCAGAACCCGCTCCGCTCCCAGGATCGCGCCGTGGCACGGAGGAAGAGGAGGAAGAGGAGGAAGAGGAGGAAGAGGAGGAAGAGGAGGAAGAGGAGGAAGAGGAGGAAGAGGAGGAAGAGGAGGAAGAGGAGGAAGAGCTCAGAGCCGGCTGCCGGCTGAGGCTCCATCCCGGCTGGCTCGGGCAAGGGACCAGGGAGGAGTGACAGAGACGGGAGAAACGCGGCTCAGATCTGCTGCTCTGGGCTCCTGGGGCACGGAGATCCCTCTCTTGGGAGCTGTCTCGCACACACGAGCTGAGCTCCCCCGGAGCCCAGAGCTACTCCGGGCTCCTGCTTGAGGTGCTGCCGAGCTCGGATCACTCTGCGCAGGGAGGTCGGAGCCACGCCGGGCACCGCCCGCTTGGTGGCACCTGGGGACACTCCCGTTCCTCTGCCCCGTGCCCACCGCGGCTGGGATCTGTGTCCCAGCTCCAGCACCCATCCAGACACAGAAGAGGGGCCAATCCCCACTGCTCCCACCCCAACTCCTCACCGGCACAGCTCAGCTGCATTCCCGGGGCTGGGGCAGCCTCGCTGGGCTCTGCGGGGCTACAGGGAGGAGAAGCTTCCTCCAGCCCTAAGGTCTCCATCGACCCTATGGACTCCTCCAGGGCCAGGACCTCCACTTCCTTTGTCTTCACGCTCATTTCATCAGGGCAGAGGCTGTGAGTAGAGTTTTGGGATAAGAGAGTCAAACTTGGAAGCTGGGACACTCCCAAGCTGTAAATCCCTTCCTGGAGAGCCTGAGCTGTCAGGTGTGTGCGCAGCTGTGGGTGACAAGGGACCCAGGACAGGCCAGCATCTCCAAGCACAGCCCTGGTCCCACATCCATCCAGACCATGGACAACCCAGTCTGCCCAGGCTGAGAAGAGGCAGCAGGACATGGGGAGGACACGAGGACACTCACTTCTGTTCCTGGTGCCCAGACAGGTCCTGCAGCAGGGGACTTGGTGTACTGGCCTGGAACTGCAGATCGGGCAGGGAGTCTGTTCCGGAGCTGCAGAGAGACATCCCGGAGCGCTGCAGCTGCAGGGACTGGGACGAGGAAGTGGTTAAAACACAATGGGGCAGCACACACCCATCTCTGGGGCTGGAGCAGGGCCGTTCCTCAGCCTCCTCCAGGCTCCAGGGCCCCCGGGTGGCTGCAGGGGACACGATCCGTGCTCAGAGACCTGCTGCCGTGGGCAAAAGCCCTGCGGAGTCTGGGCTGAGCAGCTTTAGCAGCAGAGCAGGCACACGCTGCTGAAGCTCCATCGGCAGCTCCTGCCCGCAGCGGCACCCCCGGGCTGGGAGATTCCCACGGGGTACGGGAGGCACCAATGCACCCCAGCGGGCACCCTCCTGCCCCAGCCCGGGCAGGGCTCTCCCGGTGCTCACCGGCAGCAGGATGTGCCTGGCCCGGCTGGCGAAGCGGAGCGTGTTGCAGGTGTCGGGGCCGGCGGGCGCCGCGGGGCTCACGGCTGCGATCACGGTGCAGCGGCAGCTGCTGCCCAGCGAGTCCTTCAGCAGGCGAGTCAGTTTGCTGTCCCGGAACGGAACGTGGCTCTGTCTGCCCTGTCCCGAGACACAGAGGCTCCGCTCAGCTCCGGGCCCTGGGGACACCCTCCCGGACCCGTCCCGGAGAGCCAGAGCCCGGCCGGGAGCGGCCTCACCTTGGCTCCGGTCAGAGCTCGGACAACGCTTTTGAGGGCCAGCAGCGAGCGGCTGATGCTGGTGGCCTCCCGCAGCCCCTGTCCCCGGCTCGGTGTGTCCCACGCTCGCCCTGAGCCCGCCAGGTCAATGAAGCTCAGCTTGGCCACGAGCGAGTCCCCGGCCAGGCCACCACTGGAGTCCCACTGCTTCACCTGGATCTGCAAGGACAGAAAGGGCTGAGGCTGTGGCTCCACACAGGTGCTCTGGGAGACAGAGCTCTGTGTTTTCACGGGAAGAGCCAATGAATCCTGTGGGGAGATGAGGAAGGAGGAGGAGAGGAACCTGGCACATTGGGAAGACAAGCCAAACACCTGGTGATGACACAAGAAGAGCCAGAGGAGGGATCTGGCAGGAAAGGACAGCTATGGGAACAATCAGCATCTTCCATACTCGATGATAGAGAGGGATATGGCTGGTCAGGTCTTCAGAGGGACTAGAAAAGCATCCAGACACCTGGGCTGCTCCCCTGCAAGCAGCAAGGGCCGAGGCAGCAGGCTCAGGCTGAAGTGACAGCCAGAGCCTCCGTCTGCCCAGGCAGCCGTGACAGCCCTGCGAATTTGGGCAGGGGTCTGGCTGGCATGGAAATCCACTGGCAGCTTTGCACCGAGGAAGCAGAGAGCACATGGCCAGAGCCCCTGGGGAGCAAAATTGCCAGCTCAGTGCTGAGGGGGACAGCCCTGGGATGTTGTTGCTGGCAGTTCCCCGGCCCCGTTTCCAGCAGCAATGGGAGCGATCCCAGAGGCAGCAGCCCTCACCTGGAAGATGGCGTGGGAGCGGGAGGAGGTGGCGTTGGCCTTGGTGTGACGCTGTGCCCGGTTTTTACTGCCCTTGGCCAACATGTCCAGGAGCTGCTCTGCTGACGTGGGCTGGGGGAGAACGCGCAGGGGCCGGATCAGCACCTGGACACGGCAGGCGGACGCGCCGAGGCCGAGCAGCCCCGGGCAGTGGGGCCCAGGCACCCGGCAGCTCTGCGGGCCCGTGGCAGCTGGAGGCCACGTCTGCTGCCAGCCAGGAGCCAGGAGGCACTGGCACCTCCACACCCCCTGTCCCCAGGACTGCCAGCCGCTCTCAGCACCAGTGCAGATGAGTCAGTCCCAGCCCTTGTGCCTTTCTTGTGCCCTTTCTTCCGCTCCTACCTTGTGGAAGGAGAGACCATGTGCCACAGCTCCTTTCCCGGGCTGCTCCCAGACGTTCAGTGGGCTTCCGGGCTCCAGCATGTCGTAGACACACTCTTTGTACACCTGGAGCAAGAATTCGAGGTTAGGCTGAGGTTTGATTCTCTGGGATGGAGCTGGAAGAAGAGCTGGATACCCCTGCAGAGTCTGGCACAACTGGGGGTTCCCCCTGACCCCACCTCTGGGACCTCATTCCACCGGGAGCAGCTGATGGGGCTCAGAAAGCAGGGACAGCTCCCAGAGCTTTGCTGGGCAGTTCCCTCAACCCTGCTCCTCTCCAGCCCTTCCAGCCAGGAAGCTCTCACTTCTCTGTGAGCACGGCAAGGGAGAGCCCCCTGCTCCAGCTGGCAGAAACCAGCAGCACCAGTTCACTCCACCAGGTGGGTGACCCTGCTTCCAGTCAGGCACAGCAGGGGACACTGTGTGTACCCTGAGCATGGCACTACAGGCTCTGGATCAACCCCAAATCTCTTCCCTGGGGACACTGAGGCAGGGGGGAGCACGCTGGGCAACAGCAAACCTGCTGGTAGGAGACAAGGACCTCCCAGCTCTTGTCCTTCATGGCCTCGAGCCTCTTGTACAGCTCCACTGTGGCCAGGTGCACAATGCCAGGGCTGCTCTTGGAACCCACCATGGTGTGGGTTTTCCCGACTCCCGAAGCACCGTAGGCAAACACTGGAAGGAGAAGGGGTAGGTGGTGAAATGATCTATCACTACTCACCTGGTGCAGCAGAAGGCTGGGTCCTGGCTGGAGAGCAGAGCAGAGCAGAGCAGAGCAGAGCAGAGCAGAGCAGAGGAACTTCCCACACAGACAAGACATGAGGTAAAACTCGTAACTTTCCCCACTGCTCCAAAGGGCAACTTTCCCCCCTGGTTTCAGCCTCTCTAATGCAGCAGGGACAGAATGAGTCTCCAGATGAGTGCTGCTCCTCTGACCCTCTCCCCATGAGACATTTCTGCTTCCTCTCTTCTACCCCCATCTTCCAGCACCTCCTTTGAAGCCTCCACATGATCTGGAGCCTCAGCCTTCCTCCCGAGGGCAGTACTCAGTGCTGGAGCTTGGAGACAGGGGCAGCCCTTCAGTGGCTCTCAGGAACCACTGAGAGCTGGAACAGCATCCCCTGGTCCAAGCACCTGGTTCAGGTGAGCCTGGAGAGTGCTGGGCTCCCCCGGGGATGTGCCCGTGACACCCAACTGGTGTCACGGGGGCTGCTCGGGGGCTGCAGCAGCAGCGAGGGGCTGTGGGAGCTGTCCTGGAGCTGTCAGACCCCGCTCTACGGAGACATTCAGCCTGGGAAGGAATGGCAAAGAGCCAAGGCTCTTTCTCCATGCATCCGTCACATTTCTTCTCATCTTTCCTGACCCAAGACAGACAAGAGCAAGTGATTCTTGTCCCTCAAAATGCCTGGACAGCTCCTGCCCAACCTCACCTCTACCCCAATGCCGGTACCCATCCTCTCCACCCCGACTCCCAGAGTGCCAAGCACTGCTGGAACCGACAAGCTTCAGGCTGTGGGATTTTGGGTTGCTGTTGTGTTATCCCATTCTCAAAGATGCGTGGGGGCTTCCAAATTAAATTCAGGGCTCTGCTGAGCCCGCCCAGCCTGGGAGCGGATGGGCGGGGGCTCCTGCAAGGATCAGAGTTGTGTGCCAGGGCTTACCGGAGCAGTTGTAGCCAGCGAGGAGGGCGTCCAGCAGAGGGAGCGTGGTGTGCTGGAACACCTCCTCCTGCGTGGCCCCCTCGGTAAAAACGTGGTCGAACACAAATTTGAGGTTCCTGCGGCGGCGGCCGGGGCTGCGGGCGGCCGGGGCGGCTGCGCCGGGCTCCTCCAGGCTGAGCAGCACCTCGTGCTGGTTCAGGACGTGCAGGACTTGGGGTGCAGCTCGCTCCCGGCGGCTGGGGGGCCTCACACGCAGCACCACGGTCATGGAGCCCTCCTGGGGCAGGGGGCTCTGCCCCCCAACGGGCTCCTGGGGCTGGTGCATGGGGCTGCTGGGGGCCACGGCTCCCGATCCAGGGATCTGGGTACTGATGCGGTCTGGGGGGGAATAGGTTCAGCTGGAGGGTGCAGTGGGGGAGGGAGATGCCCAGGCTGGGCAAGGTCTCAGAGCCTCCCCCATTCCCCGGGGTCTGCACCCAACCAACCCCCCGTGCCAATGGCGCCCAGTGCCCCTTTGGAGCCCCCCATGAGCCTGAACCCCCATTCAGACTCCCACAGCCTCACCCAAAACCCCGGCCCCCCTTGGTGTCTCCTTGGATCCCAACGGCCCTACAAACCCCTCCACGCTCCTACTGCTCCCCTGGACCCGCACAGCCTCCCCAAAGACCCTAAATCCCTTTGAGACGCAGCCCCTTCCCACAGCCTCCCCAAGAGTCCCAGCATCCCCCTTCCAGCCCACTCAGCCTCTCTCACGACCCTCTCAGGACCCTCTCACTCCTTTGGTCCGCCCGGAGCCCCCTCCCGCAGCCCTCCCTTCCTCCCCGTGTCCCCATCCCACCGCAGCCCGGCACAGCAGAACGGACCCATGGGGACGGCAGTACCCACGCGTGGGGTGGCGGTGCCGGCTCCGTGCAGGGACGGTCACCGGGAAGGGCTTTCGCGATCGCCTCCGCCCGCAGCGAGCAGAGCGCGGCTGAGCGGAGCCGGGAGCGGCGGCCGCGGGACCCCCGGGCCGTTGTCACTCGCGCTCGGGATCCGCCGGTGCCCGGCAGCCCCGGAACGTTGTCACTCGTGTCGCTGGAGGCCATGGAACTGTGCTGGCACCAACGGAGCCCCCGAGGATTCATTATCGTGGAATCACACGGTGACTGACGGGTTTGGGTTGGACGGGACCCTAAAAGGTGATCCCGTTACAGCTCCCCAGAGGGGAGGGGCAGCATCTCCTCTTTCACCCACCTCTGGCCACTCTTGCTGCAGTTCAGGATGTGTTTGGCGTTTGGTGCTGCTAGTGCTCGCTGTTGGCTCAGGTATAGCTTTTCCTCCACTGGAACCCCCAAGCCCTTCCCTGTAGGGCAGCTCTGAGCTCTTCTCCCACTCTGTGCTGGTGCCTGGGACTGTCCCTGCACAGGTGCAGCCCCTTGCCCGTGGTTTTATTGAACTTCATCGTGTTCTCTTGGTCCCACTTCTCCAGCTTGTCCAGGTCCCCCTGGATGTCACCTGCCCTGCAGTTTTGTGTCACTTTTGCGAACATGCTGAGGGTGGGCTCGAGCTGCTGTGTGTGTCAGTGAGGAAGGGATTGCAGAGCCCTGGTGCCACCACACAGCCCCCAGGGACACCCTTGGTCACCGGCCTCCCCCAAGACATGGGAGCCCACAGCCCAGCCAGTTCCTCACCCAGCCAGCAGCCCAGCCCTCACAGCCGTGTCCCTCCATTGCAGGGATGAGGATGTCCTGTGGGACCGGCCATGGTGTGCTGGATTTTTAAAGGTGATGAAGGAAGCTCCAGCCTGTGGGTGCAGCTGTGGGGGTCTGAGGATGTTGCTCTGTCACAGTTTGGGGTGTGAAATGAGGGTCCCTTGTGTTGAGGACCACATTTAGTGCACAGAGCTTGGGGGGAAGCCACCCTGGGAGCTGCAGTATGAGCTCTGTGAGGAAAATGGCCAGAGCTCCCAGCAAGGGGCCAGGACCTGGCACTGACCCAAAGGGCCCGGGGGTCCTGCAGCACCGGGCAGGTAACTGGACACTTGGACACAGCAGGAGATGATGGCTCAGCAGGAGGGCCCCACTGTCAGGTGCACAGACTGGGAGGTGGTGGAAGCCTGGGAGATCCTTTGTTGGGGTCCCTCCCCAGAAGTTCCATCCCAAGCTGTTACTGAGCTGCTCCACCATGATAAAATTCCTTAAAGGAACCAGAGCCTGGGACTGCACTCTGGGAGCCCTGGGGCTGAGCTGGAGAGGAACCCAGGAGCAACTGTGGGATGGGGTGAGGGGAGCCAACAGGGCACTGCCGATGGCCTTGGCCCCACCAGTGCCAGTCTGGGGTGGGACTGCAGCTGTCAGGGCAGCTCCAGGATGGATGACAGGGAAGTTTCCTGAACAGTTTCTAACCCAGGTGGGACCTCAGGTCACCTTCCTTCTCCAAACATCCAACTGCCAGCACCAGGTGAATGACACAGTATGTCAATAGATAGGGAACAATCAACCCTTTTTTGTGATTTTATATTGATAATCCTTTTTGGCCTATGGCAACTCTGTTTACCTTAGCTTTGTTCTGTTTGGTACCTGCAATAATATTGTGTGTCAGGGCATTGTGTTAAATCCCTTGAAACTTCTCCCTTTGAGTATATTAGCAGGAATGCCCCATTAAAATCACGGGAGGAATTCCTGATGAGGAATCTCTGGAGCTGCTGCTGTGAAGGGGTTTCAGACCCAGCAGTGCCAGTCTGGAGGAGCAGGAATGTGACTGCCAGAGGGGCTTTGGGATGGATTGCCAGAAAGTTTCCTGAACAATTGATGACCCACATGTGACCCCAGCCCACCTTCCTTCTCCAAACACCCAACTGCTGATACTGGATGAGTTCACCTGGGATCCTTGCAGCAGGGAGGAAACAAAGGGAGAGTGTTAAAATTTCCTGAGCAGATTCCACATAGGTTCTAAGATTGGGTTTGGGTCTCTCCATTGTGCAGCATTTTGGTGCAGTTACTGCAGTGGATGGAGTCTGGGGCAGGGCTGTGCCTGCACCTCCTGTGGGTCTGGGGGAGCAGGATCTGAGCCAGGCTCGGCAGGGACAGAGCGAGCCCAGAGCTCTTTAAAGAATGCAGTGGGAAACTGTTTACAATTCTAGGCTGTATCGTGTGCTGGACACTGTTTAGTGGGTGGTGATTCCTTTCTGAGGCACTTCCATGGCAGGATCTCTCTCCTGTGCAGCTCCCAGGCTGCCCGTGGTCTCGGGCCGGGCACAAACCCCCGTGAAGGAGCTGCTCCCTCGGGAGTGCTGCTGGTGCTCACGGAGCCTCCTCGGGAAGGGGAGCCAGGGCGATCCGCAGCGAGAGGCGCCTCGGCTCCAAACCGCTCCTGGAACTATTTATGCCATAGTGCCAACACCTTCCCCTTTGGGCCCGCTCAGCCCCTCAAGACCTGACGCCCTTTTAAGCCACGGCCTCCTCACTGTACCTGCACCTCCTTTGGGGTCCCAAAGCCCCTCGCACAGGGCGCTGCACCCACTTCGTGCGGCCCTGGCACCGCCCCCGCGCCCTCAGCCTCAGGGGGGTTCCCGCCGCTGTGCCGCCTTTAAATTGCCCGCGAGGCCCCGCTCTGCTCTCTGATTGGCCCCGCGTCGCCTTCCGGCTCCCATTGGCTGCGTCCCGCGCGATGCCTCATGGGGGTTGTAGTCCCGAGCCCCGCGCGATGCCCCATGGGCGCTGCAGGCTCTCGGCCGCCCGCGCCCCCTGCCGGCGGCTCCCGGGGCAGCAGCAGCAGCTCAGAGCACCGGCGGGCGGAGGGGCTTGGAAGGTCCCAGGAGGTTCCGGAGGGTCCGGGAGGGTCCCCGAGGGGGGCTTCGGCCGCACCGTTCTCAGGGACCTTCTGCTCAGGGCTGCGATCCAGCCCGGCCCCGCCACCGCCTCCAACTGGGATCGGTTCTGGGGAACTGCGCCGGGACCCGCCGAGGCCTGGGACACACACACAGAGCTGGGGGAGGCAGCACACCTGGAACACACACACACCTGGAACACACACACACCTGGAACACACACACACACTCACCTGGAACACACACACACACTCACCTGGAACACACACACACTCACCTGGGGACACACACTCACCTGGAACACACACACACTCACCTGGGGACACACACACCCCCGTGACACAGACACACACATCTGAGGGACACACACACACACACACACACACCTGGGGACATGAATACTCATTCTTGGGAACACACACACCCCTAGGACACACACATACAGCCAGGAGGACACCCAGCCCCATCCTGTCCCCAAGGCCACTCCGAGACCACAGTGCTCCCATCCTCTGATCCCATCACAGCCACTCCGGAGGTGGCCGCTGTCACCTGCCCGTGCCGAGGCAGCGGGGATGGGCGCGTGTGCCCGAGGGCCCCAGTGGCTCTGTGTGGCCTGACCGTGTCCCCTCACAGTGGCAATGCTCTGTTCCTCGAGGGACACCCCCTCATGGGGCCACCTGTGCTCTGGGGACAGGGCCATGGTAATGCTGGCAGCCCAAGCGGCCCCACTGAAGGTGGTGAAGGGACAGGGAGCCTCTCGTGGCTGGGCTGGTTTGATAAACCAAGCGGGATCGGGATGGGGGGTGGTGGTGGCAGGAAGATCCCGTCCCCAGGGTGGGGGACACTGGGGACACACACAGCAGACGGGGAGAGATCACAGCTCTGCTTTACCATGTTGTCACCCCGGCGGGGGCGGGCAGGACGGCGGCTCCCCCCGCCCCAGCACAGCCCCCGGGGCCGTGCGCGTCTGTACAGCCGGACCCCCCCGAGACCCCCGGCATCGCCCCGCGGCGGGCAGAGAGAAGGGGCGGGACAAGGGGGCACAGCCAGGGATGGGGGTGCCGTGGGGCAGCGCGGGGGGCACCCGCAGCTTTTCGCCACCCCCAAACCTCTGCAGCCCCAAGCCCTCAATTGGCAGCCTTGGTGTGAGCTCATGGGAAAAGGGGGGTTCCGGGCACCGAAGGCAGCCGGGAGCGCGGGGAGGAGCGGGCGAATCCGTGGGCTGGACTGTGGCGGGGGGTTCCGTGGGGCTGGGCAAGAGCGGGGGGAGCCGGGGGGCAGCAGGGAACCAAACCACGGCACAGGGATGCCGTGGGGCCGGGGGGTCACTGCGGGGGATGCCGGGGGCGGTGCTGCGGTTCCGGGCTCAGTCCGAGTAGATGATGAAGCCGGAGAAGGTGCTGTACTTGTTGTTGTTGCCGCCGTGGGCTTTGCCCCCGTCCAGCTTGATGAAGACCTCGTCCCCCGCGTCCAGGTGCAGGATGACGCTGTTGCTGGCGTAGTCGTAGTTCTGAT